GTCTTAAGAATCACTGAAAAACCCTTTGAGTTATTCAGCTAGAAAGAGAACAGGTTAAAATCGTTTTGTGTCAACCCCGCGATGTCTTCACAACAGAGCAATGATGAGAGGTTAAATTATTATTCACGCCTTCAGTAATGGTATCAATATACATATTCTGGCTTCCATCTTCAAAGTCTATTCAAGAACCATCAAGAAAACGGTGAATAATTCTAAAATGTGGGGGAGGGGGGCAATAGAGAGGAAAACTGAATCAGGAGATCAAAACAGCAAGAGGGGGTCATCATTTCAACTTAGAGCGAAATATATACTTATTGTTTAAAGTAGAGTTCAATACTATTATAGAAAAAACCTCGGGGAATTCGAGTAAGATATCTTTAATCAATTCTAATATAGAAAGCTTCATTTAACAATTGGACAATTTTGCTGTTACACGATTTAGACAATTTTGATATATATATATATATATATATATATATATATATATATATATATATACAATTTAAATAAAAAAAAATTAAAAAAAACAGACCACTTTAAGGTTCCATGTAATAAATTATTTCACCACAGCCCTTTTAAAGGACTGCGGATCATCAGACTTTACTTCCAAAGATTGATATATATATATATATATATATATATATATATAATGGACTCTTCCGTCTCCATTTTTTAAGTATGTGGGTCCAACATCATAACACACTTTTGATGCCATTTTGTGCCTTTGGATGGCTTTTGAGAGAAGTCTGAACTCTATACAGCATTCTACAAATAGGGCAAGGAATGCATCACTTATAAAGGCTGCACGAATGTTAGGTATAATTTCGAAATTAGAAAGATGTCTTGGAGAGTTTGACATTCACAGGATATATTGAAGGCAACAGGGACAAAGGAAAATGGCGCATCTAACCTTACCTAATGAGCTTGTGTAATTGGATGGTAGAAGAAGTAATGAGAGCAAAAAGGCAACCATTGCTAAGAGCTCAAAATGGTAGGAAGTAATGGAGGGCTATGATCGCTCTTGTCTTGGAGAACATAGAAAAAGTATTAAGAAAAAAGAAAGAGAAGCTACGAAGTTGCCGACAAGTTCGACTGGACAAACAGAATTTTACAGAGATTTTATAAAAATGGCTATTTAAATAATAAAAGCATTTACACGATTTTCATTCGGATTACTTGTTCTTATCTTTGTTGTTAAGATCACAATTTTTCGGCCGCTTGGCTTTCCGACCTTCTTCAGGTGTTTGTCTAAGACATTAATTTGTTCTCATTCTACTGTCCATATCAGGGGAGATAACTCGTCTTGTTCTTATTTAGTAGACTCGGTTATTTCTAAACCCGCTTCCATTTTGTCTTCACTACTATAAAAACAACAAAGATGAGGATAATAGTCCGAATGTAAATAATGATAACTTCTTATCCCAGAAATTCAGACAGAATTTTAAAAAGATATCGTTTATTTTATTTTTACGGGTAAACATTTTAATACATAAACCTATTTATAAATACATTATGTCCACAAAGTTTTATTAACTAAATTTCCATAGATTTTTCGAATGATGATATTTCAAGAGTTCAAATTCTATTAGGATGAGTCGTTAGTAATTTCCTCTTGTCGGAAACATTTGTAATGACGAATGTCTCATAATAACTCTTCCTTAAATATGTACAATTGTAATGACGAATGTCTCAAATTAACTGTTCCTAAAATATGTACAATTGTAATGACGAATGTCTCATAACTGTTCCTTAAATATGTACAATTATAATGACGAATGTCTCATACTAACTGTCCCTCAAATATGTACAATTGTAATGACGAATGTCTCATAATAACTGTTCCTTAAATATGTACAATTGTAATGACGAATGTCTCATACAAACTGTCCCTTAAATATGTACAATTGTAATGACGAATATCTCATAATAACTGTTCCT